ATCCGTGGGGCGGGGCCAGAGGCACCTGCGCCCTGCGATTGGCCGGTGGTGGCGACTACCGAGCTCGGCGGCTAGAGCGGACCCGGGGAGAGGCCACAGAGAGTGGGCGAGTGGAGGCGAGCCGAGCGTGCGGAGACGGGAGGCTGCGGGCCTGGACGCCATCTTTGGTGCTGGCGGGGAGACTTGTTCTTGGGGGATCTCAGAAGTAACTTCGGTCAGCGCCATGTTAAGTGGGGGCAACAGGGACGAAGAAACTTGGGCGTTGGGCCGGCTCTGAAAGCCACGTTGGAAGTGCTGATGGCTTCTAGGTCCGCGAAGCGACGGCCCGCATGAGGCGATAAAAGCGGGTGGAAAGTCTGGGTGTCAGTTCCCCGCGATGGGAGAGAGGGATATTGCCGGGAGAGCTCTGGAATGCGAGCGTCTCCGGCGTCCGTGGCCGGAGCAAAAGTGGGCCACGTCTCGGAGGGAGGGCGTGGGGCAGAGGCTCCTTTAACTCGGCGGTTCCGCGTCCCAGAGGAGGTGCTCCGGGGCCGCGGTGCCGGGCGGGGGAAGCGGACGTGCGCGGAGACCGAGCCCAGTCCGGTGCGCAGAGAGCGGAGGAGCGTGCGGCCCAGGACGGCGCTCGAGGGGCAGGGGTGTCTGCCTGACTGGGCCTCAGGAGGGGAGCAGGCGCCCGGTTGTAGAGAATAGGTGTGTCCGCGTGCCCACGACAGTGAACGTGAAAAGGCCCGAAATATGGAGCCGCTGGCACTGTCTCAAGTTCATACCCCCCCCCCCCACTCCTGGGCTCTTCCTGCGCCTGGAGCCACTGACAACTTAATCCCCAGTCCCCTCGGCAGGACCCTCCGCACACCTACATTCCTGCAGGATGAAAACCATCTCTTGGTGTGTGTTTACCCTAACAAAGCTCATCGCCCCAGGAGATAGCCCGGGTATCAATACGCTGAGCTGGCGGGTCTCACATCCTGTTCTCATTGGGGTCCTAAATCCGATTATTCAGAGTAGTTAGTCCCTGGCAGATCTTACCATCAGGTACCTGTGCATGCATTGATCATGCGGCCCCTACTGCTTGTGTGCATAGCCCCACCCACCCCATGACAGACCCCGCGCGTCCACCCCTGCGCTCACACAGGCACCTCTCCTCTGTGTGGCCCAATGTTGCTTGTAGCAGGGTATCTGTTAAACTTTTGTCTTAGTTTCCTTTCATAAATTCTTTTACCGCCCGCAACAGTGACCCACCGTGTTCTCCAACAGAGTAATATTTGGAAATGAAAGGATATTAAAACATTACTTGAAAGCATCCATCCTTTTTCAAATGTTCACTCATTTAATCAGAAAAATTTGAATATTATATAGACAAATATGGCCTAACGTAGCATAAAATTTGTGATCTCAAGATGTGCCCAATGTGTTCAGCAAAGAGTGATCCTATCCGGATGGTTGATTTAAAAAGGTTA